GCTGTTTCTGGCCTCCGGAACAGCAAATCACAAGCCGATTCACAAAAGACCTTATGTGACGACTGCGGAGCAAACATCATTCCAGACGCAATCCGCTGGCTTGCGGTTGTGCGGTCGTCTAGTAGTAAATTTCCTACGGCCTATTCTCCTATTCATTCTGTACAGAATACACTCTTACTAACAAGCTGGCTTTCCCAAGACTTCTTTGCTTACTTAATGAACCCACCTGGAAGATCGAGACCTTTAGAATTAAACCTTCTTAGCCTTAAACACCTCAATAACTGGTGATTCTCCGACGTGCCCCCGCGATGAGTGCCAACCTCGATAAGCTCAATAAATTACTTTGTCAAATTTTGAAAGTAAAATAATCCATACGACATAAGCAAATACAATTGGTTGAGTGAGCATTGTCCCCGATCAATTATCACCTATCTACCAATATATACACATATTTAATTCACCAAGAACATTAATATCCTTCATGACGCATGACACATGACGTGGTTGATTATACACGAACAACCTGCCGTATTTAACTACCGTCATATTATGTAATCTAACACAGCGACGGCAATTTAGTTGCCTGTTGGAAAATGCAAACTTTTCGAAATAATTATTTTTCTGTATCACATTTGAAAGTACTTGGTGACCTTTTAGTATTTTGGGTGCCCTTCTGTCATCAGGATTGTGGATTGAAAAGAGGAATTGGCGAAAAACGTGTATTTTTTGCACAGAGGCCAAAATTGTAAAATCCGTCCTGAGGACAAAATATTATGTCGAATAGTACCCAAAAATAGTCGCAGTGGCTTTCTATACAGTGCTCTCTGTCATCATCGTCATGAACTCTTGAAAATCAATTTCTCCGTCTGAGTCATGATCGTGTCGTCGGACCCACTCTTGCAGTTCACACAGCTTGCAGTCAAAGTTCATGTCCTTCAGCAGGGTCATCAGTTCTGGACAGGAAATCTTGCCCGACTTGTCCTTGTCAACATCATCGAAGACGCTCTTCCAGAAGGCTTCCCTAAAGGTAAACAAGAAAATCCTTCGTACAGAATATTAGGAAATAAAGAACAACACGAGACCATCGCTATTCAGATAAACAAAAATGACCAACCAAAATAGAGGGAATGTCTATACATTATAAAAAGAGTTGGTTTTGAAAGCTGTCCTAGTTTAAAGATAGGGGAGACCAAACTGGGAATTTTGGGGTTGTTTATCTCAGCCGTAGGCCAGATAACGAGGACCTTACGCCGTCATTTGGGTTTTTGCCGTGTTTACCACCTAATTCTATCTTTTTACCACTAGTTCTTTGGAATATTCTACCACATGTTTTTAAAAGCAGTTCAGTCTCGCACTGGTGAAAAGTAACTAAGTGCAAGCTGCTTTTTTAATCCCCTCGGATACTGATGCACGAAACAAGGAGTGAATCCTTTGGTATGAAGCATTGAGACTCGTTCCTAAAGTGAACATGCATAGATGAGATGAAATATTTAAAGTAAATTTCGGAACGAGCCTAGACTGCATAGTTTCAAAGTTATTATTCGATATGTGTGCATTTCTTTCCAAAAATATCATAAGGGGCAGACCTAAGACTGGAGTACATATATATACACTTAGCTGTACCACAAATGGAAATAGCAATCATCAGCTCAGCCAGCTCATGCGGTCAGGCTGCAAGTGTGAAACCGGATGGACGTAGGAGCGCAAGCAGAATTCATGGCCTGGGACGGCAGCTTCGATCGATGACAGCTGCACAAGCGCGAACACCGGAAGCCCGCGGGAGACCCCTTGACTGAGGTTATTACGTTTCACAGGGCACGATGATTGAGCATCCCTCCTAACCCCGTTCCCCTCCTTATCTGCATTGGTTTAATCCCTATTGACTATAACTGTC